GGATATGCAACGGTGGCATAAAGTGAATGATACACCGTCGCACAAGCCAAAACTGCATTGGGTCTCGAGTTCGAATCCCGCAGTTCGACTCGGCGCAAAAACCCCAGACGGGCGTTGTCACTGGTTCGAAACCCACCTTAGCGTTCACCTGCTATCCGCCGGTACCCAAACCGGATGCATCTCCGCACGACCCAGGAATGCAGTTTTGCGACGGTGTATCATTCACTTTATGCCACCGTTGCATATCCGGATATGCAACGGTGGCATAAAGTGAATGATACACCGTCCCACAGCGTGATAGGAACGAGTGTATCGCTTCGACGGATCAACCGTGCTTGTTATCAAGACCAATGTGACGTACACAGTGACACAACAGACGAAACATGTTCTCCCACCCGCCGGGCCGCAAAACGCTCTCGACGAGAGCCAGCAGCCACAAGAAGCCGCCCGCACAGCAAGCCGCTCGGTCGAACACGTTGCTCGCTCGATGCCGGCGAGCCGGCATGTCGCACGAGGTAGACGGTGGCGTAGCTAACATCACTGACGACGACCGTCCGCTGGCGTGAGCGGCGGCGATCGGTCCCTAACCTGCGGTCCTTCACACCGCAATCGGTTCTTCGCCTTGGTCCCTAATAACTCATATAGTTATCGAAGAGCCAGTTTGCTGCCAACTCCTCGTTCTTGTCGCATGCAAGGTAGGCCTGGACCACCATGTTAGGGTCGAAACCGCCGAGCGAGATGAGCCTCTCGACGGCCGCCCTCTCATCCTCCGTCAAGCGGATCGTGGTAGCCCTAGGCGGCGGCCCCCCTGCGGACGATGAACCCGAAGAGGAAGGACCCGCGTCGCTCCCCTCTTCGATAGGCTGGTTCATCATCTCGAGGAACGCCTGCTGGTTGCTGTTGATCGCCGCCAGCAGCTCGGGCTGCTCCTGCCCGATCTGCATCAGGACGGTCTGCAGCATCTGCGGGTTGGACTGGACGAGGCGCCGCAAGGCGTTGAACTGCGGGTTGTTCCGCAGCGCCGCGAGGGGATCGGACGACGACGACGAAGCGGCCGGGGACGACGACGCGGCGACCCCACCACCTGCCGCTCCCATCGCTGGAAACGAAAAAAAAAACTCTGACATTTTACGAACTCCTTGGCGACGTGCGCGTCGCGTCGCCAAGGCTCTGCGACCTCGGTCGTACAATCAGCGACCTCGGTCGTACAATCGGCCGGCTGCGCGGGTTTTCGGCGAGTTTCCCGCGCACCGGCCACGAACTCGACTCGCACAGCAAAAAAATCCGGTGCTCGCGCGCCACTCCCACGCTTGACCACACACTCGCTGCACTGCTCAAAGCCAACCCTACCTCACTGGCCGCCTCCAACACTGTCCCGCGCGTCTCGCGCCCCAACTGACAACTCATCACTGTCCCTCGGACACCACTCTCCAGCCGCGCTACCTTCCCCCACCTACCGCTCTCGCACGACATCTCGACAATCCTCATATCTCCAGGCCCAAGACTCCTAACCACTGCCCCTGCTCGCCCAGGACCACGAAGCGCCGCCCGCGCGCCCATTGACCCCCCAATCAGCCCTCTTGCTGTCCCTCAATCGCCACCCGCCAGATGTACTTCCCTCGCCCACCCAATACTCTCACCCTCCTGACCCGGACAGTCCAGGTACAGGAAAAGCGGGGAGCGGGGCCCGATCCAAGGAGCACCCCGTCGGCCCGGGAGGGCTGTGAATTTCGGCGCGAGCGGAAGGCTGCCTGCAGACGCTCAGCCCCCGGCTGAGCTGCCGAATCCTCCCGGCTAATCCCCTGACCTGCCGCCTGAAACGGGACAACATTACACCACCTCACACACACTCCCCCCTCAGGGCTAAGCAGTGCGCAAGTCCACCCGAACTCTAGGCGAGGCATCGACCGCTCCTTTGGAATAGTGCCGTCAGTGGCTGCACTAGACGCCCATTAGATGGCGCGCGGCGCGGGCGGATGACTAGGGGAGAGAATGCGGAGAGACTAGCTCGCAGGTAGATGTGCTCAGCCAAGGGTAAGGGATGAGGGGAATGTGTCAGTGTGAGGGGTGCACCAACCGCAGAGCGTCGTGTTTTGCCTTTGAAAACTGAACAGTTTTTTTTTCTCCACACACACACGAGGTGGTGGGGCGTGTCTGCAGTGTCTGAGCACTGAGGTCCTGAGCGAGCTCGCGTGTTTTTCTTTCATTTATCGCGCGTTTATGTCGAACTCGTGGTCGCGCGCGTGTTTGCGCACGTTATCCCGTCGTATGCGGCACACCTTGACCCCTTCGGCGTCACCGGCCCTTTGAATCTAGTATCTACCAGTCGCCTCGGTCCTCGAGCTCAACCTCCACTGGCGACAGGAAATCGGCGGCCTGCGCGAACTCTGCAAAGCTGAACGTCGCCGCCTCCTCCTGCTTGCCGAGGTGTGCTAGAGCCCGCAGCACCTCCTCACCACTGGGCTCCATTGCAACCTCGGCAAAGGCGAGCGGCAGCTCCTCGAGCGAGATCTCTCCACGCCCCGAGGTGTCGACCCGCTCGAAGGCTACGCTGAGCGCATTCATCTCTTCGGGAGTGAACAGCGTCTCAAGCGCAGCAGGCTCAGCACGCACCCGAGCACGTGATTCCCGAATCTGCCCAATCCGCTCCGCCAGCGTTCGGTCGGCGTCAGCGAGCTCGCAGGGCGGCAGCCCTGGCTCTCCGACGCCCGACGGGGCGAGAGCGTCGGGTGGCATCTCACTATAGAAGCCGCAGCGAGGCGTGCCGCTCACCCACTCACCGTCGT